CCAGAGGCCCCGGCGCTGCTGTCCGGGCGGGGTCCCTCGAAAGTGACGCTCAGGAGGTCGTGAAAAGTCATCTCAACGCTCAGCCGTCGGGGACCGGGCCGGGGCGCAGGGCGAGCGGCGGGCAGGGAGGGGGACCGCGGGCATAGCTGCAGGGCTCCGATCCAGCCCCTCGCGCCGGTCCGTCGGTGTCCTGTCCAAGTTGCGAGGACGCGGAGCCGGCTACCCGAGCGCGGAGCTGCCAGGCCGGGCGGCGGCCGGGGACCCCAGGGCTGGCAGAGCGCTGGACCGAAAAGCCCGGGCCGGGCCGCGCGCCGCTCCGAGAGCGCCTGGGCGAGCGGGCAGAGCGGCGGCTCCAGGACCGGCGGTGCGGGTAGCGGCCACTGCAGCCTCCCGACTCGGCGAGGGGGGCGGGACGGAGGAGGGGCGGCGCGGGGAGGTAGGAGGGGGCGGCCGGCGCTGGGGGCCGCACTCCCTGGAGAAGGGGGTCTGGAGGGGCTGAGGCTGGTGCGCTCGGCCTCGCGGCGGCCACCTACGCCTCCCAGCGGGCGCCCGCGCACGCCCTCTGCCCTCGCCGTGCCCTTCGCGCCCCCCGCCCTCTCCTCTCCTGGGCCTCCCCCTCCTTTGCTCTTAGCTGCGTCCCTTTTCCTCCCGCCCTCTCCAGCCTCGCGGTCACTCGCCGGTTGCCCTTGGGCGCGCGGAGCTTAAAAGGCGCGATTCCCAGGTCCCGGCTCCCGCTCTGGCCGCCAGAGAGCAGCAAGTGCCCGGGTTCTGCGGACTGCGGACAGGACCGCGCAATGCCGCGGCGGGTCGCCTCCGGAGAGTACCTGGATGAACTGCCGCACCTCCTCCTTCTCGCCGGCCACTTACCAGGCCAGGGTCTCAGGCATCCCTGCCCGGCGCTGTGGCTTGCAGAGTTCTGAAAGCGGCAAAAAGCCTGTGCTGGGTCCAGGAACCAGAAACTATGTGAGTGCAGCCCTCGGACTCTGCCCATTACACAGTGATCGACAAAATACCAACTTTTGCACTGTTACTTTACTTCCTATCAGATGTCAGAATAAATCTTCCTACTGCTACTCCAAAAATGCGGCCTCCTTCTGGGGAGGGAGGGCTTAAGTGCTGGAGGGTGGGAAAGGTCACTTGGCAGAATGGTTAAGAGGGGAGGGAGGAGAGAAGTCTGGCTCCAAATATCCAGGCTGCATCCTTAGTAGCTGTTTGTGCCTCAGTTCCTCAGCTGTTAAATGAGATGTCATGTCAACGTAAGGGAGGGATAGTAGGATGAACCCGTGTTAGGCAGTGGCTGGGCATCTCAGCTGAGCGGGGCTTGGCAGGCAGGATCTGCACAGGGAGGGCAGAGGGGAGCGGGTGGGGGTGACACACTGCTATGAAACAGCGGCACAGGGGAAAAGCGGAGGAAGGCCTCTCACTGACCAGCAGGGCTAGAGAGGAGAGACATGGAGATGATTCAGCGAGCCGACACAGAAATCCTTATCAGGCTGCTGTCAGTGCCGGGCACTGAGTGGCAGAGGAAGGAGGGACTGCAGGGAGGACGGTGCCACCCAGTAGGTGCAGAATGAGGATGGCTTGAGTCATACAGGCAAATGAGGGTCCGTTTGAAGCGGTGTCTGGGAGGAGAGGATAACCCACGGCTTCAGTGTCCCCTAGCTGTGGATGGCACAGGGGCAGGATGTCTGAGTGTCCTGGATGAGGGAGGTGGCTTTGAGAAAACAGAAAACAGGAGACGTGTTGAAAGAGAAGTAACCCTCTCTCCTCCCTCACTAGCCCAGGAGACCAAAGCTGTTATAATCACAGCTTAGACACAGCTCTTCCAAGGTTCTCAGAGGCCTTGAGGTCTTCAAGGGTCTTCCTTGCATCTTTGGGAACTTACCATAGCCAGTTTATAAGGATTAACTGGCAGCTGACCTACCGTATAACCCTGGGTTTGGGCTTCCTCTCTGAAAGCCATGGGCAGAGGGCACAGGGGCTCCTCACTGGGAAGTGTTGGCTGACAGGCCCAGTGTCCATGTCTGGCTGCCCTCTCATAGTGTGGCAGAGTCTGCCTAGGTTCTGGGCTTGGTCAGTTTTCAAAGAAGACTGGGAATCGGAAACATAGTTAAGCCCATGTCTGGAGCTGGAGCACTAGGGAACTACTTGGCTGGTGTCACGTAAAGATCGGTGACTAAGTCTTTCTAGAAAAGCAGAAGAAGCCTGGCTGGAGGCATCTTTGTCAGCAGGGTGAGGTGGGGGTGTGGGATAGGGTTCCTGGAAGAAGATGGGGTAGCATGACCCCATTTCAGGTTTCTGTAGTCCTCACAAGGTCCACAAGAGAATTCCAGAAATTCTCGGGGAAGGAACATGGAAGGGCAAGAGCTGTAAGATTAGTTGTCTGTTTCTTGTACCAGCTTGTCATGTGCTCAAATCCAGGAGGGAGTTGGAGGCAGAAAGGAGCTAGGGGCAAAGGGAGGAGGAGCTGTCTATCTCTGAAGGGAGGTCTCAGCAGTGGAGGGGCTGGAATAAAGCTCAGTGCCACTCCCAGTACACCATCCACACATAGTTTTGGATGCCTCATGGGCACCTGAAATTAAACATGATCTAAACTAAACTCAACATTTGGACAGTCAAATCCTTATAAAAATGGAACTACTCTGTGCAGCTGCTACAGCTAGAAACCTAAAATGCTTTTTCGGGTCATCCTCTGTCCCCAAAACTAGCCAGTCTCCAAGTCCTGTTAACTAGTTTTTGCATATTTGACTTTGTGAATCCATCTGTTCTCTTTGTAGTCTGTACCTAAGGTTAGGTCCTGATCATTCCTCATTCCAATTTTTATTTCTGCTCCAATAATACCTCTTTCTAGTATGTTACTATATAGATTTCCTAAATAGAATCATTTTACATTCTAAAAATATTTTGTTGGTAGCTCACCAATGATTTAAGATGGTAGAACACTCGGTCCTGTGGGGCTGGACTCTTTCCTGTTTCTTCTATTATTTTTTTATTGGGGTGGTGGTGCTCAAAGTGATTAGTTTGAGAGGTGATGCCAGGAAGCATGAGACCAGGCCGTGTGGGACCCTAGGATTTACTTGTGCTACAGGTGAATGAGTATAAGACAGAGGCTTTTTTACCTGGAATGTTTTGTACCATGCAATTTGTGTTTGAGGCTCTCAAACAGGAATAGACACTGTCCAGAGGTATGTGCCTTCCCTAAATGGCTAGAACCTCCCCAGGGTCTGGGAACTCAGGCTCTCTGGTGCGTCCCCACTGCATTTCCGTCAGGAGCTTAGTGTCCCCCTACAATCATCCTCAAGGGCTTCCTGGAGGAAGTCGCTTTCAGGGAGAGTTTAAATGCACTTTGGGTCAAGAATTATCCTGCATTTTTCTTTATTCCTTACTTTGACTTGGCCTGTAGACATGTGGCCATCTTCCTTTATGGAAATGTTGGGGACATTTCTGTCACTGCCGTGCATGTGACCCGTCAGTGTCCTTGCCTGAAGAGTACTTGCTGTCAGGTTTATTCCTTTAGTTGAAGTATTTGGCACAGTTGACAGAAGAAGAATGGGCAAGACCAGTGGTGGCCTCCGTTGTGATGTGATGTGAACTCTTCTCCCTTTCCCCATCCCATCAACCTCTACTGAGCTGTGCCCATCAGATCTGAGCCCTTGGAGAGCAAAATGTGATTTCTAGTGGCAGAGCCTTCCTAGGCACAATGGGCAAGTCAGCAGCAACGTAGGTGGAAACTCTTACCTGGGAGGCAGACATTGGCATTCAGTCTGGAATTCCCTGCTGCCCGAGTTTTGACACATCTTTGGACTCAGTTGTCTTCTTTCTAATACAAGGCAAATGGGATTGGTTTGACCCCAGAGGTCAGAGCACAAGAACTCCTGCCTCAAGTGAAGTCTTCATAGAACCCCAATGCAAAGAAGCAGGTATTTGTGGAGAAACTCTAGCTGGATTAGGAGCAAACCCAAATCTGACCCATGGACCTTCCTCTAAGCTTTTCTAGGGTCCCTGAGGCACTCCCATAGCACTGTGAGCTCAGGTGCCCTATGTCTGAAGACCCCGTTGGCCCTTAGGTTCTTTATGATTAAGCAGCATGGCTCCCAGTTAGAAATGGAAGACCAAGAACATCTATTCATCTTTTTTCCCTAATGGGACCCTTTTAAAGTAATAATAAAGGAAAAGGAGTGGTTGTCTTACAAATGATAAATTGACATCTAGTCTGACTTCAGCCTGTAAGAACAGAGTTGAAAGAACCCTATGAGAAGAGTTGTGAGGGCATCAAGGTATCTGCACCAATCTCTGTCCTGCAGATGTGGTGCAGATTGATTGACACTGTCAGAGCTAGGGTGCTGAATGGGAGACAGTGTTGATGGAGAAGGCAATTGTGAGAGGTACTCTGTTTGTAGGCACCAGCTGGCCAACTACCAGTGCCACATCACCAATCTGCAGCCACCTTTACTCATTTAAGACAAATTAACTAACCATCAGCTGTATGCCAGGAACTCTTCTGAGAACTGGGGATATAATGTTGAATAAAGCAAAGTCCCCACCATCCTGGGGCTCACAACCAAATGGTAGAAATTCCCTAAGAAGAATTAGGAGAGTTTTATCTTTGTGATGGGCGAAAGTTTGATCTGGGTTTGCTATCTGTGTCCTGGAGATTATTTTCAATGAAATTTTCAAAGAAGGTCCAATTCCAAAGGAGTTCTCCTAGTACTTCTCTGTCCCAGAATTGCAGAAGGAGCTGAGCACAGAGATTAATATGATACAAATTCATGCATGTCATTGGATGACTTGGCTTAATCTGCCATTTCCTGGGATCTGACTCTGAATAACATAGACATCCATTCTATCCTTTAGCAACAAACTGATCTCCGGTCCTGGACTGATGTTTAACACCTCCATGTGTACACCCTGACCCATAACCTTGACTGACCCACAAACCTGACTGGTCCATAACATAAGCCTTTATAATCTCCTTAATTGTCCCATTCTTCCCACATACATGCTAAAGTCAACAAGGGCACTAAATGAAGGGTAAGGACTCTGTGGCGCCTTCCTCCACCTTCAAGACAGCAATTTGGTGCTCAAGGCTGCCCCCTCCCCAAGTATCTAGGAGAAGGATATCGTTTCTGTATGAAGACATGCCAGGTAGTCTATGTCCCTGCCCCATCCCTATGTCAACAGAGGCTGGAGGAAACTTGAGGCCAGTTATGATTTGATTGTTTATACTAATATTTGCCAGACTTAATGGAGTTGGAATTTAGTGACTGTAACTCTTCTTATGATGGAAATGGTAGAGGGCAGCAGTGGAATGATATTCCCATTGAATGCCTGGCAAGCAGCCCACTGCTCTGTAGACCCTTGGCGGGGTTGGGCATTCTGTTTTGCAGCTGTGTTTTCTTCTGCTCCTAAGAGATATTCTCTTGTTTCT